GAATAAAAATAATTTTAATATCTCACATATTAAAAATAAAAAAATATTAAAATTATTTTTTAATTATCATTTTCATATCAATCCAATATATAATATAATGTATTATATTCTCCATCAATACATTTAACGATGTTAAAATAAATAAAATTATTTATTTCACTTGTATAAATAAAAAAATCTCAATATACATTTTTTAAATACAAAAACTATGATATTAATAGAATCCAAGTATAGAAATTAATATATAATTAACTCGCAATTAGTCTATCGCTAGGCCTTAATATATAAGGAAAAAAAAATCACTAGTAGCTGTTAACAGGTTCAGAGGTGGATAGTAAAATGGTAAGAAAAGCAAGCATCCAGAGGCACTAAATGTGCTACCTAAATAAATACAAAAATTGAAACTACTTGACACATTCATGATTCCCAGCCTGAGGAAGCAGCAGGTGGTGCAGTTTCCCAACCAGATGGAGGAGGAGCAACAGCACCATCAGCAGGTGGAGCAGCAGCCACATCCCATCCCCCAGCTGCTATGGGAGCTGTACATAAGAAAGACACACATGTCAGATCCATTCCTTGAGAGACAGAATTGCACTATAGTTTCTTTTGCAATGGTTCAAAACGCAGATTGACTAACATGCTTTGTACACACGTAAATATTTTATGTGCCATATTACACTAAACCTTAATGCCATGGGAATATACACCCCGAGAACTGCTATCTTAAAGAACTACCGGTTGCTCCGATATCAAAATTATCTTATACTGGACATAATTGTTCTCTACAAACTACAAGAATAAAAGATTAACACCCTCATAAATGTGGTGACAAGGACTACACTGACCTCAATAAGAAAGCAATCACATCCTGTCAAGCTGCAATTAGTGACAGAAAAAAATTCGGCCACCCCTATGTAACTGATAAATTATAATAGTTCCTGAATTATTGTGTTAATGGTTTTAAAAATAAATCTGGATAAAAAGGTAATGACAAGGGAAACAAATCTGGATGCACCATATTTCATTACTTTGATGCGGAGGGTAAATCCTAAGTATCATTTGCCTATATGTCTGGTTAGAGGAAGTAGTAAGCCTTTGTGGAATCAGATGAGAATAACCTCAAGATTTCATTAAAGCATATCATAGGTCAATATAAACTTTGTTGTATAAATATCATCACATCGTGAGTTCGAGTTTTTCTAAAAAAATATATCATACAATTACCGAGACTAACCTTGAGCAGCAGTCCACTCAACCCCAGGAACCAGAGGCACGACGGCAGGTACAGCTCCCACATCAGGCATCCACTGTTCAGTAGTCCATTGTTCATTTGGTACCATAGCACCATAACCAGGAACTGCACCAAAATCGGGAGCAACTGGCGCTTCCTCTTCCTCCTGTTCCTTGGCTTCTTCAGGGTCTCTGTAGAAAAACAGATCAACCTGCAACAACCTGGCTTAATTAGAAAATAAAGGTATTAAAAGAACACCTCCAATATGTATTGATGATGAACCACCATTAACTTCAGGGACAAACAAAAACTAATTACTTCTCAATAAAATAAAAAGAGAGCAAAGACGTAAATGATACAGTAGTATGGTGAGCTATTCTTTTTCAATGAACCCAGGGGAATCACTATACAGATAGTTCTCAAGTGTAATAAAAATTTATACTAACAGGCATAAAGAATTTTGGAGTACAAGACTACAATATGTATGCTTTAAGATGCTCCTATTATGAAGCAATGGGGTTCACATAAACTCAAGGCCAAGGTTGCCATTAAAAGATTACCATTAATAATCTAAAAATTTAAAAATGATTATACCAAACTGTATTAAGACTTTCTTAACCCTGAATAAAGGCATATCCATCAATGCATGCCTTGCTAAGGCCAGTAAAAGAAAACTAGAGGTGAACAACTTATGTAAGCTTACCATTACTTCCCATTTACACCCAAGAGGAATGGTGCCACGCATCTGCAGAACCATCCTTGACAACAACCAAAAGAGGCAGCCAATACTGTGTTTTCCTTTATTGTTTGCTGGAATTCCAATATCAACATATCGCATTGGAGAATCAGTGTCACAGAAGGCAATTGTTGGAATGTTTCCAAGAGCAGATTCCTTGATAGGCTGTTGGTAAAAAGATCAAACAATGTTTTAAATAATCTATCTGTTCAGATATAAAACTTCATTTTTTTACAGATTTTCTCACCTGGTGGTCGGTCCTAGGATCAGTAAGGATTAAAAGGCGAGGCTCACTAAAAGATGTTTGAAGCTGATTGGTAAAGGTACCAGGTGTATGCCTCCCTGCAATAGGATGAGCACCCGTGTACTGTGCAAACTTCAAAACAGCTCTCTGACCATATGGTCTTGCAGATTGGACAATAATATCCTGAGGGTTCTCGATGGCAACTATGACTCTAGCTGCTAGCTGAAGCTTCTCCCATGTTTTACCAAGGTTGATGATGTGTACACCTGAACAGTTAAAAGTATAATTGTTGAGAAACAGGGCTTAGCAGGTGATTATATGATTACATAAAGACAAGTTGCTAGGTTGACAATAAAAAATAAAACTAAAAAAAGAACAAGGAAATGCAATATGCACCTATTAATATGTGAAAAACTACTAGTTAGTGAAAACTAGAACAATATTCCGGAACTGAACTAAACTTCTACAACACTATCCAAAATATCCATCAAACCATAATACTCTTTCAGATCAGGTGGCCCTTTAATGAGTTCATTCATAGTTTATACATTTTAGTGTTTAATCAGATTGGTCCTTACTTCAGGTTACAAGGCGCTTTGGTGAATCAAAACCAGTCATTTGGGAGTACTATAAGCTCTAGTAAATAGAAAAGGAATATTGGTTGGGATTTATACTCTATTTGTTGTTAGCATTATGGAATTTCATATTTCAGCCACAAAAACACACTGCTCACCAACATACTTTAACATAATGAGCGAAAACAACTAAATATAAATCAATAAACTCTATAAATAGAAACGTGTGATTAACTAAAACAAAAGCCACTATGGTAATCTGTACAGAACACTTGAAAAAAATCTGCAAACATATCTTCCTGTCAAACCTAATTGTAATTTTTTTAGGTTCCTGAGTAAAAGATGCTGAATGATCAATAAGTTTTGGATTATAAATTCATGAGTTATTTAGAGACAATTGACCAAATGGGGTTTTGATATACAATGTCAACCAACAATTAATATGATGGTGACATAATCGGAGGAACAAACTAGCAATTTCCACTGATGAGCAAACCTGCTGTTTGCAGTAGTAGAGAATACTGAGATATGTTGTGCACATTGTGCTTCACAATGACCACTATAGTGTACTATAATGTATCAAGAACCAATATCTGTTTTTAAATTTTTTTTTACTTGCATGACTGCCATGTCATTCACAAGAAACAATATCCATTCTTCAATGTGATTCTCAGCTTACAGAATCCTTAAGGTCCCCTTATTGCTTTCAACCTGCATCTATTTAATGATAAGTAGGCAAAAATGACCTTCAATTACCTTTACATAAGCACATCTTATGGGGCATCTACATGAGAGGTGTTCCTAGGGTTTTCCGATGGAACCCAGCACACTACTCATCTATGTTCTTGCCTATATTATGGACCTACTTCCACATTCCAATGACAACAATGCCGCCATTGCATCACCACAGCAAAATCTCTTTGTGAACCAAAAAAGTAAATCCCATCATCCTCAAATATGAGAATAAAAGCCATAAGCTGCGACAACAGTCAACCTTCACTCTCAAGAACACAAACTTATGTCTCATCCACCACAGTTCGTTGCCATTAACATATCATATCAAACTTGCAAGGCAAAACATGAAACCAGAACAACAAATAGAAAGCACTACCAAACCCTCATGGAACACTACTATCAATTACTCGTCTCAGACCCGGACGTCCAGAAAGCAGAAGAAAACAGAAGAAAGGATCAGACATCAAGGAAAGAAGAAAACAGAAGAGCGCAGAGGCGGTATCAAAGGGTCACCATCGGATCTGCGCTTGTAGACGTAGCGTTCCATCTGGAAGTCACAGTTCCTGGCGCCGAGGTGGACGTTGGCGGCGAGCATCATCTGTATGTCCTGCTCCTTCGGCGACAGCACACGCGTCGCCATGGCTTCGATCCCGAGAGGTCGCTCTACACGCTCCCGTGCTTTTGATCTCGCGAACGGCGTCGGCTGCGTAGCGCAATGGAGGACGAGTCGGTGTCTCGCTTCTTATTGCCTGTTAAAAAGCCCTAGCAGCACATTAAAAGACCAAAATGCCCCGAAACTCGTAGAAAACCGACGCGGTTCGAGCGCGTATACGAATGCGAGTAATAGGGACCGGACCGGCACTCGGCTCGGTATTGGACGTGCATTCGAGAGACCGTTAGAAACCCTTCATCGGACCAGACATCGATACGGCCAAATCTATGATCGCCATATTATTAGTGAGACTGATCGATCGACGGATCAGAACATAGGTTTTATTTTTTATAAAAAATAATTATATATTATGTTAAAAAATAAAAAAAAATATAGATAAAAAATAATTAATAAATTATAAACCATTATAAAAACATGTCCGTAATGAATAAATAAAAAAACACCTCTTGATCATATATAGTAAATTGTAAATTCTTAAGATTTGGACGACGATAAGAGAGAGAATAACAGTGAGAGGAAAAAAAAAACGGTGAGAGAAAATAATATTAGAGATGAGAGAAAAAAAAGAAAATAAAATAATATTTCATTTTTTTTATCTGGTCTGAGCCATATAATTACGGTTATGAAACACATCGTCCGATATGTTAATATTAATTTTTGATTCATAACACTTCTAATAAATAAATGCATCAACAACATTAGCATCATCCATATCTGTCATGATCTCAAAGAAATACAAATCAAATAATCAATGAGCTGGGGCAAAGTATTTCAAAAAGCATCTCAAAGAAACCTGTATACTTACAAATTATGGTCAAAATAAATAGCTTTAGCCGTAAAAGAAAATGAAACAGATCGGTTCTGTTACAAGTTTAATTAAGGCCACCAAGGAATCATAACTAATGTAGGCAAACCCTCCAATGACAGGATTCCAGTACTTCAAGAGTAATGCCACGATGTGGTCTCAAGAACAAATTCAGCTAAGCATGGGGAAGATTCGGGTAACATGCTCAAATGGCACGCCTTCTGCCGTGTGCTTCTTCAGCTCCGGGTGGTTGAACTCGTTGCGAGGAAGGACAATCAACTGTGAGCGGCCATGACTCTTCTCGAGGACCCAGCCACTGTTGGCCACATGATGTTCGATAAACTTGTCTAGGGAAAGACCTTCGATGTTGATGGCCTGTCCAAGCATTACAACATAACATGGAATGAGGGAAAAAGAAAAGTGGGCAGTGAGCTTAAGCAACAATATTCCTTCTGAGCACCCATGGTTTCATCTTGAGGCCACTGCATGAAGAGTAGCCCAGACTTCTTACAAATGGAGAAAAAAAAAAAAAGTTTAAACTTTTGAACTAAACAATCTCTGCAAGCTAATCAGTCTCTCAATAAAGGGTAAAATGTCTTACACATGTGCATCAATCGATATATCATATTCTAACCACTGATGTGCCTACTGACTTATACTGTCGACCATGTAACATGAAAGATAGCCAATTGGCACCAGATTGGGATATCCATCCATATATTGCAAAAAAAAAAAGGGTGACCAAATATTGACTATTCTTAAAGGTAATAAACATAATAGTGGCATCAAGAACATTACATTCCTTAGTGGGTGGACAGAGTAGATGCCTCATTACATGGTGCAAGAAGCATGCACTCTTGAACCAGCATAACCCGGGGACTAGAACAGAAAATAAAACAAAAATTAGAAATGTGTGTAGTAAACGACTTCATATCAGAACCAGGTGGCTTTTGTTATTTTAACTGGTATTTATACATGTGTATATATAAATATTGGAGAGAAATAGACTTCAGGACATGTTTATCAACGCTAAATAAATGAAACTAGTATCAGCTTATGAAATATCAACATCAGGATCACATTACAACCCACATTTATGCAGCAAAATGTAACAGCTGAAAAAGCCCTTGCACCGACCAGAAGTTATTACATAAATGATCAGTAACATGTTAATTCTTGTGTGTGATAAAATTATGCCACAGGCAAAACTTGATGCCACAAGATCAGAGAAGCAAAAACTTGTGATTACCATGAATTAAACTCTGAATAAACTAACAAAATTAGCAATCATCATACAGCAAATTGTGCCTCATTTTGGGTAAAAAGGAACTGATATTTTAACATTATACACTGCATTCGAACCACAATCAAGAACATACAGATAAAAAAGGAAAAATAAAGCAACATTACCTCGGCAAGTACAGGCCTTGGCACTTTCTGGTAAGTCAAGGAGAGAACATGAATTGCATAAGCTTGGATAGCTTGTTCAAAACCTGCATCAAATAAGTCATAAGCCACAAAAACTGACCAATCTACTGCCTACAAGTACAAATTCAAAATGTATAACATGCATACATGTATCAAGAAGAAAATGGGACTGAAAAAAGAAGCATTCAACATTCCCTTTTTTCCGGCCATGGAAAGCTTTTAGGAAAGCATAAAATTTAAAAGAAACAGAAAAGGTGCTTGTTGTCAGGAGTCTAACTGTTTGGCTACATTCTCCAAGTGGCATATCTATTTATACACCAAAATTTTCAACAAAGATGACCTTTTCTTTCTCTTTTTTTCCCATTGACAAGCTTATAAGAAAGATTATAATATAAAAGAACCAGAAAAGGTGATTGATGTCAGATATCCAGCTGAATGAATACGGGGTCCAATTGGTATATTCCATACTCCAACAATCACAATATGGGTGACCTTTTCTTTTCTTTATTTCTTTATTAAATTACAATATTGGTGACCGTAAGAACATAGCTTGAAGGTAAAAATATCATGATTCCTGTTGTCTTCTTCTCCTCTTCCGTCGATCTGTAAAGATACAGCCTTTCTTCCCAAAAAGGAATTGCCTTAAGCATATTATACATGTCCTAAGCTTTTCCTAATTGATCCAAATGAAACTTAATAGAAGCTAAATTAATCCCTGCGATGAAGGGAGAGTTGGCACCAAAAACCCTCATTTGATCTTGTTGAGCTTCAGTATTGTCTTCAAAGAAGTACCCAGTATTATGAAAAATTGATGGAAAGGTCTAATATTTTTCTTCTAATCTCTACCATAGTTATTATCTTCCTCATCATAGATTCATCAAAACAGGGAGTAAGTAGCACATTCAGAACAACAGTATCTTTCTAGATTAAAGATCACTTCTGATAAGGCATGTTTTGCCCCGCGGACACGTCACAGCTGATGCCACATGCCACGTCTGTTTTGCCCAGCGGATACGTCACAGCTGATGCCACACGCCACGTCAAAACTCGTACCCCAAGACACTATTCGACATGCCTGGTCCCGGCAATCCCAGGACGACAACGCCCCACACACCAAGCCGGAATCCGTACTAATGTTGTGTTGTGTCCACCACGCCAATCCACGTACGACCGACCCTCTCACGCTAGTATAAAGACCTCTATCTCAGCCTCCAAAGGGGAGGAGAAAAAAACAATACCACCCACAACTGACTTGCTCGTTGGAGGGGCCAAAGTCAGGAATCACCCGACGAAGGCCTTTTTTTGTGCAAGGAAGCGATCACCCATGAGCCACGAGCACCTCGCCTGGAAATTGCCATCCAGTAAACGACGGTGAGCTATCACCTATCTCGGGAACGGAGAGACGCAGCTCGACGCAGACGGCGCTCGGACCAAGAAACGCTGACCAACACCCCGTCGCGAAGGCCCGACCTACCTCAGTGTCCGGCTCAGCCGACAGAGAACTCCCGACATCGATCCGTGGACCTAGCCGTGCTGACTCACCAGCCACGACCCATTTGTTCCCAACAACTTCCAATTTAGAGACACTTCATTGCAATCTAAATTTGGTTGTTATGCTTAATGACAGAAACCATTTTGTCCTTACATCTCCAAACAATCATCTCTGAGCTACCACAACCCTTCTGCTCAGACCAACCAAGCTATCATATTTGGTAAAACATACATTAATAGGTAGTCAAGCAATTATATAAGGTCCACAAAAGGAACTTTGGAGCATCTAATATCAAATATGCACATGCACCAAGTCATATACAAGCTTACATAGTATTGCTATCATTGTAATCTATAAAATTGGCTAAAAAGAATATGCTAAGTTCCAAGAGCACTATAGATGGTAGTTATGCTGTTCTAATGTCAGCTCCTAAGAATAACCCATAAGTTCAAGTATTCTTTTTACCAGGAACAACTTCAAGTATGCTGCGGCTCTTTGCTGCTTCATCCCAAAATTGACGAAATCTCGCCGTCTGCAATTGTGTTCATGAACTCAGAATACGAACAGCCAATAGAAACACATGCAAAAGGAAGACATACTTCTAGATAGTGAGAGAGAACAATCAATGTCTTGAACTTCTCTTCCATTTGCTGACAACAAAAAATTATAACGTTAGAAATGTAACTAAACCTGTGCATTGAAAGAAACAGCTGGATGAACAGTGACATATGGAATCTCAAAATCTACGAATAGGCTCATCAGGAGATATTTTGAAAACAATTTAAAGTGCACAATCACAGGTCAGTTGAGACTAACAACTTAATAATCATCATTAATTTGCAAATTTTCTAGTATTTCTTCTTGTGGTTTATTATGCAATATAGCATAGGATTGAACAGAATACTTTAAAAACCTTTTTCTATGATGAAATCCATGTGCCCAGTGAGTTTTCCAAGTAGTTCTTTTTCAAAATAATGATTTTTTTTATTGTTAACAAGAAATCTGGCACGAAGAACAACCACAAGATTTTTTTTTCCTAAAAGATGTGTAGATGGATATCCATGTAATTAATCAATGAAGTTGCCAAACACACTATTAATGGCATTTAGACTAGTTCCAAACCATTAATTGCAATATTTTCATGAGTACATCCTTCCCATATGCTAATACTTCCTATCAAGATATCTTAGTTGTCATTGAAATCGCCCATTATTAGTACATATCAGAGTGAAGTCAAGGGCACAAAAATTTAAAATACCACTTGCTCAGGAATCAAGAAGAGACAAAGGCTAAAGTCTGAGGCTGGCATCGCCATAAGAGCCTGCAAGACAAGGAAACGAATATAATAAAAATTCATGAGACATCAAGAAAGTTCATCAAAATTCAATTGCCTTTTCTACTTTTCACTTCTTAAATAAGCCAGACCTTGATCAAAATCTGAACCACAATTGGAATACTCATTCGACCTGGCTCAAACTACAATGAAAAAATAGTCAGCAAAGAAAAACTTATGATGTTCTTCACTAAGTTATACAAATAATGCCTTGAAACCCACACCTGATAGAGTCGAAGAAGGCAAAGGTTTGCATCCAAACTATATGTTTGAGATGAAACCTACAAGATAAACAAACGATGATTAGAAGATGTAGAAGAAAATATACAACAACAAACCATAATGTCCCAACTATCGGGGTCGGTTTCATGGATTTTGCCCGACTATTGAGCTATGTTTAGGACAGTACTCCTACGCAAAAGTAAGAAAACTCGAATCTTCTAACTACTTACAGTTTCTAATATACTTTTCATAGATCTCCCTCTATCCCTCCTCGCACAACACCACAAACCTAATTTTCTTGTAAGAAACCCATCAAACATCTTCCAAACAACCCATGCTGGTAACGTGAAAGATTCAATCGATTCCAAGAGGAACCCGTAGATAACAGTGAGGAAGGAGTTCTTGGCGATGGCTTTCCAATCAAGTGGTAAGAGGAAATGGCGGCGAGAAGGAGATCAAAGAGAACGGCTTCAGGAGTGAATCACCTGCTCGTTGACGTAGTTCTCGAGATCAGTGAGGATATCGGGGTTGTATGGATTCACACTGACAAGTTGCTCCACCGTGTAGGAGACCTGCTGCTGCTCTCTCCCCATCACGCGATTGAAACCCTAGCAATATCGAACGCGAAAGGAAAGCAAGATGCGAGCTTTGAACGAAATAGAAGGGAAAAAGGGAGGCGGGGGAAACCCTAAACTTGGAACCGAGGTCAGTGACGGGCCGCAGAAGAACATTTGCTTCAAGATTTCCATTTTCTCTTGATCGGATGATCTATACCCTTGGATGAGAGAGGCAGCATCGGTTTTCCCTGCAATCTTGGTCGTCAAATTCCCCTGTACTTTAAATTGTGATTGTTCTACTGCAGATTAATTGGGCTCTGCCAGTGGGTAACGGGTTAATTTGGGCCGCGTGTTGCATATGGTCAACTTTAATTAAATCGGGTCGGATCGAATACCAGTCAGATTAATTGAGTGTGGTTTTGATGATCCAATAATCTCATGGATCCGTATTCTTACTCATGTTATCTGATGAAGCGGGTTACGTGCCGTGATGGGTTTGGTGTTTCACTACACGACTCTGGATACGGATCAACTATGCGGCGCACAAGCGGCGATTGCCCCTAATCCACCTTCTTTAGCCACTGGATGAGCGCCACGTTTTTATTTGCTAGTTAAGTGGTAATTAAAGTCGTGCCATTAAGCAAGGAGAAATTGAAGTGGTTATCGTCACGTCTTAAATGACTACAGTTGGCTCGCTCGTATCCCCCATCGATTTCTTTCCTTCTTCGCTAAACAACAGCTATTCCATCGAGTTTCTCCCTCGACCTGTTCTAGACCATCGCATTGATCCGCCATCCTCTCGTTATCCGATCCAATTGGTGAGTTCTGACCGATCTCTGTTCTTCTTTTGGTTTCTTTCTCAAAAATCTTTTGCCCTTCTTTCTGGTAGAGTTTCTCCCCTAAATTTCTAGGGTTAACTTCGTTCTTCCCTTTTAATTCAAGATTTCTGGTATTTTCGATTTCGTTGTAAATTGTTAAATCAAGAAACAGGAGGTTTCGCGGTTTCTATTTCCATTTCTTGCTGTTCAGATTGATTCTTGGATCTTGATATTGCGACCGCGTGCCCAAGCGTGGGATTAAGTTTGAGAAATTTAGTGTAACAATTTGATGTTCCTACTATCATCCATATAACCACATGTTCGAAGAATTATTGCTAGGTAGTATTCTGTTGATTGCCAGAATTGTTCTTTCGTTACAACTATGGTTATTAAGAACAGTACCTTAAATAATAGGTTTAGGTACGTCAAAGACTAGCTAGACCTCTGATAAAGTTTTTGGACTAGCTAATCCATTTTTAAGAACACGTTCCAATAATTATTTTCTGATGGATGTAATTATGGAGTCTCCCATGAATTTTGGCAATTAGTTAGCCGGAAAGATAGTCAGGATAGGAACTGATGTTCTTAAGGGATATATAGAGGTTTGCAATACCGCCCGATCCATATCGGTATGGGTGGTATTTACCAGTTTGTCATGTAATCTGTACATGAACCATGGTAAACTGGATATTATGCACGGTACATATCAGATGGTACAGGGCCAATATTGCCTGGTAAGCTCTGTACAGGATCCACATTGCTTGTTATGCTTGGTACAGGTTTGGTATTGCCCCGTAAGCTCATTACAGGATCAGTATCACTTGGCACCCTCAAGACAGTTGGCATCACCCATTACAGAGGCTGCATTGCATACAGGCTTTCCGGGCAGTTTCTTTTCTTTGTTTCTCAGTCATTTTTAGGCTTTTTTTTAAGCTGGGTATGTACCAGTATATCAACACTTGGTACACTGGTATAGTACCAGTTCGAGCCCTGGCCGGTACAGTGTCGATATATAAAATTGTGAATCTTGAGATCGAACACCTGTTGATTTCAACATGCATCGATGTAGTCATTTTAGTGTTAATATCTTTATATTTTGGTGACAGTGTCTTGACAAGTTGAAGTTATAAACTCTCGTAGATCCTTCAGTGAAGTGAAAGCATTGTTGAATACTAGATTGAATTTCTTCTCTTCATCTTCTTGCTGAAGTGTTACTCCTCTTCTTGCTGATCCATCTATGCTAGATTGAATTTCTTCTCTTCATCCTAGAAATTTCAGGCGTTTCCTTTCGTAGCATGCTATTATAAGTGATTATTGAAAAGGTTGCCTCACTACGTTTTGTGTTTTATTTGTCAATGTCAACATCCAAAAATAACACACACACACACACACACATATATATATCATTAAAAACATCTTAAATCTTTGCCTGTACCTAATGTCAATGTATAAAGATCATTGAAGTTCCTTTTACAGTAATTTTAACTTTCGGCTTTCATTTGCTTGATGGTTGGACTTCTCTTATTGTAAGTACCAAATAGCTCTTTAAGATAGTCTTGATGCAGGATGATGGAAATGCTAATGAAATGTTTTGGTTAATTGCTATGTCCTGTTTGCAAAAGAATTTACCTTTTATGATTATAATCTCAAATCTGAAAGCACACTGTTTCAGGAAAAGCTCACAAGTTTCAACTCCTGAATGAATCATGGTGACATCTGAAGAAATAACTACGTACTCAGCACTCTCTAAGCTAGACACAGCAAATCATGATGATAGAGAGCGAGCTGATTTCTTGGTTGACCACCACAGCGGTTCATTATCAAGCCCAAGAGGGTCTAGACAAGATTATCTATGTCAACCATCATCAAAGCCTGACTTTCCTGACAACAATTCAACTCAGGAACCTTGTTTTATAAGTCAAAATGGTGCCAATCATAAAGGAAACTTGAAGAATGTTTTGAGTGGGTTATCTGCAATGGTTACGAGTCGGAACCTTGTTGATGGTGCTATTCAATCACAGCTAAATTCCAGCTTAGATATATCATTTTTGAGTTCTGAACTGAATGGAGATAGTTTTTTGTGTCCATCAGTTTGTATGCCAAGTGCACCACCTCTACTTGGGGTAGAATCTGTTAACTATAGTGCATATAAAGATATACTTGCAGCAGAGCCTCCTGAGTGGCTTCCAGATAGTTATTCTAAAGTCTGCATGCAATGCAATTCCCCTTTCACGGCAATTACTCGTGGAAGGCATCACTGTCGATTTTGTGGTGGTATCTTCTGCAGAGACTGTACAAAAGGAAGATGCTTGTTACCAGTCAAATTCCAGGAGCGAAATCCTCAGAGAGTCTGTGATACTTGCTATGACAAGCTTGATTCTTTACAGAGCATATTGATTAACTCAAATAGCAATGCTGTGCAGTCAGCTAAACATGATGTTACTGACTGGACATGCATGAGAGGGTGGTTAAATTTGCCTGTGGGCCTCTCCATGGAATATGAAATATACAAGGCCACAAATACTTTGAGAAGTTATTGCCAGGTACAATTTTCTATAATGTCTATGTGTGATCTCTTTGAATGCAAATTGGAGATCTTTTAACTTATATGAGGATCTTTTTGGTTTTCAAATATCATGTGACTTCTAATAAGTTCACAACTTTTACAATATGCAGGTTGCTAGATTAAATCCTGAGAAATCTATTCCATGGTCTGTCCTTAGAGGAGCAAAAGGGCTTGCCATACTAACAGTAGTTAAAGTTGGTGCGCTTCTTACTTACAAGGTTGGTTCTGGTCTTGTAGTTTCACGAAGGGTCGATGGATCATGGTCTGCACCATCTGCCATTCTATCTGTTGGTTTAGGATGGGGAGCTCAGGTAAAACTTATATATTGGTGCTCCTCTTCACTTTCATGATACTAACATGCAGTGTTTCATGACTGTTTACCAGCATTATTACTTTGGATTCTTATAATTAACATAATTGCATCAGTTGAAGTTTTCGGAAAGATAGATTGTAATAAATGATGACTTATTAGGTGGTTTTAGGAGGAATGAAGATGGTTGAATTTTAGAAACAACTTGAAGGGTAATAAAATATGTATGCGGTTTATGACAATAAAATAGTGATATAGAGAAGACTGAAGTGCTTAGGGTATCTGGAATGTAAATGATTTTTGTGTCATGGATTGCAGAAGCTGGAGACCTGTTCCCATCTTGTGCAAAAATTTGATCAAAATAATGGAACTCCACTACATACACCATCTGAATTATAAATATCTTAGTGACTATCTACCCAGAAGAAGAAAGAAGTGATAAAACATAGGAAAGAATAACCATAATTTAGTTTCAATGCTTGTGATGTCATAGTAATGAACTTTTTCTCTAAGGGCAAACCTGGTCTTTTGTGAGGATTTACCATTGTGATACTGCATTCATGTATTCTAATGGAAGAGAAAAGCTTCGCCATGTGCTAGTTTAGCCTGTGTGCATCTGACACTTTTTTTTGCACTGCTGTTGTTGCCAATGGCCTTTCCTCTAGGTATGTGTTTGGTCGAAGTTTGTATCCAATTTTAGACCAAGCTTTCTTTAACAAAAAATCCAAACTGGTGCTTAAAAGGTCCACCAAACGGTTCTCACAGAAAAAAAATATAATAATAAATTTTCTTTACTAAGGTGTAGAACATAGGAAATGCTAATAGCTAGACCTTTTTGGAGAAAAGTGGACAAAAATGAACTAGAAAGAAGGGATACAAAATTTTATTACAAAGGAAATGGAAGGTTAAGTTTTTCTAAAATTTGCGAAAAATTTATTGCCACCATTCAAGCATTGGAAAACTAATTTACTAATGGAAGCAATCTTTTATAGAATTGAATGGAGCAATAGTAGTAACTAGTTGTCAATGGAATTTTTGCCCAATTCCTTTCACTTCAATTTCTGTCATGACCATGGAATTTTGAATGTGTATGAATGTATTATCTTCTTTGATTCTGATAATCACATCACTATGGATGCTACTGAAACTTTTGGTGGCCCGTGCTGATGCAGCTTCCAATGTTGGTGTCTTGTGATTTGCCTAATAAGATCTACAATCCTTCTATCGGGGTATTTAATTTCATGTTCTTTTTTTCTCTACAATTAAAAGAGACGTGACTGTTCAATTTTCCTGCAGTGGTGTTATCATGTTATGATGCATGTGCATACATAGAAGTTCATGCACTTGGGTGTGCTTATCCTAGTACTGGAGGTAAATTTCCAGATTCCACATGGCGAGAAATCCATTTTAATATAAATAGGAACAGAGGGATCATGTAACAGAACAAGTCTGGATTTTTCTTAATCTTCCAAATGGTTCAAGATAGTCACTCGTATATGTTGGTCACAAGGAAATGAGTGTTCTGCATTGCTGGTCATAATATGCAAGTTAGAATTATTGATGTGTGATACATTACATACTTCCATTTTAATACAATATTTATGATTGCTTTATTGGGATAAATCATAGTTTGACCCGTGTTGTTTAATCACATTTTGAGGAAAAAATGAATTTTAATATTCTTGTATTATCCAAACTATCAAATCATCAATTAAACTCGATGAGTTGGTAGTCTATGCAAGGTTCGCCGTACTGTACCGACGTTTCGACCCGAGCTCGATATGGTACGGTACCGGTGTATCGAGCGGTACACCCTGGTGTACCAAACAATTATATATTTTTCATACTGTAGTAGCACTACAGTATAGTACTGTAGCACTGTAGCAGCACTACAGTATAGCACTGTAGCACTGTAACGGTACCGGACGGTCTGCGTACCGGTAACCTATCGGACCGGTACGTACCGCCCGATTGGTACGTACCGCCCATATCGGGCGGTACGCTTCGGTATGGCAGACCTTGAGCCTATGTAACTTCTGACAAACTAATTGATATTTGTCTCCCCAATTCCATGCTATGGTCATAGTGCTTTGACTTAATGAGAACATGCCTTTACCTTATTTGATTAATCTGACTTCATAGGCTAAAATGATACTAATGCACTTTTTATTCTTATGCTTGACCTGGGTACCCAAGCACTTCCATTAACTTATTTCATCAAGCAGACTTCATAGGCTAAAATGTCACTGACTTTTGATTGTTTTGCTTGGTCTAGGTACCCAAGGTCTTCTTCTACACCCATATATTGTTCTTGTAATTTGATCCTTTCCTTCTGTTACACAGATTGGAGGCGAACTGATGGATTTCATCATTGTGCTGCATGGCTCTAAAGTTGTCAAGGCATTTAGCAGCCATATGCATATTTCATTTGGTGCGGGTATCAGTGCTGCTGCAGGACCAGTTGGCAGAGTGTTTGAAGCAGATCTCCGAGCTGGTGCTAAAGGGTCTGGCATTTGTTATACATACAGCTGTAGCAAAGGTTAGTCATTTTCTTAGTGTTGCATGACGGACGAACTTTGAGTCAATAAATAGTCATAGAATCTATGGATATTTTGTCCATTTGGAACACAATTCAATAACGTATAGTATCACTGTTAACTAATGACATTGTTTTGATTGACGAGAGACTATGGAAACTAAGAATTTTAAGCAAGACTAATATGGACTATTGAGTGTAAATTCAGTTATACTAAATCAAGTGATGACCTGTTACGTAAGGCATGTTTGGTTGCTTGCAATTGGGACCATAAGAAAAATTGGGGTTGCATCTCCATGTCCTGACCTACAACTGATACCTGCAAGCTACCTACAGACATGCCATCAAATTCGGTGGTTTTACAGGCCTATGTAATGAGTTGGTATTTTACCTGAAAAAAAGTTTCACTTGTAAATGCAATGCATCCTCAAATGATCAGCAACCAAACATTGCTTGTCATGGTATAATTTTTAAATGCAATACAACCCTGACTGCTGATAAAATGAAGCAAAATCAACACATCCATGCTAGAAAGAGATGATTTGAATGGAGAGCTGAATCGAGAATGTTATATGACAGTAAGACAATCACTGGCTACATGCTCAAGCCAAATGGATCATTATACATTTTATCATATAATTAGTAAATAATGAAAAATCTGTTTGTCTGAGTATATTTATTGTATCCATGATTTTCTTTCACTGTAAATTTATTTGATGTCACCATGAGTCTAAGAAATTAATTGTTTAATTAAAGAACAAACAAAGATGATCATAAATCAACTTTGTATCCTAGGATAAAATAACAGCACAGTAAGTTCATGATAATCATATACATGCATGATCAATTTAGTTGACAATTTCTCGATACCATGAATCTAGTTAATTGGGAGGTGATTAGTTGCCATACAGGAAGGTGATCATTTAGTGATCAAACTGTTTGATGCTTTAAAATATGTGAAGGAACAAGTTGAATTTATAGATAAGAATAGAATTATGAAATAATAGGTTCATAATGACTGTTATTCACATCAAATACGTTTCATGTCCTCATGAGTGTGTACCCATCTTTACAATGTATAATGGATTTACTTTGAGATTTTTTTTTCCAGAAAAAGGGTCATGTTTTATGTGTAGAAATGGATAACTATGAATTGTATATCTAGAAAGACATTTCTAGCTGTGTCAGTGATGATGTTGAGATGGATGAGTAGAGTATCACACAGAAATAAGTCACATGTATCTCGTTTTGCTGGTGGTCACTGTGAGTATAAGATGAAAAATTTTATAAACTTATTTAGACATGTAGAATGATGGCAGAAACTACATTATGAATAACGGATAAGTAATATCAAATTATAGTTTACATGATCAGGAGATAAATACCAAAACAAACTTTGGAACGATGTGGAAGGGAATGATACTTTCAGGAATATTTGGGATCTATACTCCCAGTAGAGCTAATGGCAGAAAAGTTCCCATGCAGCCAAATCTGAAGACAATGTACTAGATAAAGATAAGTTGCAAGTTTGCAGCCAGATTTAGATACATTTGTGTAACATCTACCATGGGTTGGTTATCTGCAAATTCATCAGGAATTGGTGTATTTTAAAACATTTATCTGACAATTTCCACAAGTTACTTTCTTTTTTTCTTATTATCTTTCCAAGTTTGCTCTTGCTGCACAGCTGTAGAAAGGACTATTTGGGTGCATTCCTTAATGCCTGTTATGATGATTTCGCTTATGATTGAAGAGTTGTCCTGTAATTTAACCATTATTGCGGGAAAACAATCATAATTGTTGCTCAACAGGTGCTTTTGTTGGGGTCTCGATGGAAGGGAATGTCGTAGCAACCAGAATGGACGCCAACTTGCGCTTCTATGGTGATCCTTACTTGACCACTGGTGACATTCTTTTTGGGACAGTGGAGAGGCCAAAAGCTGCTGCGCCATTGTACTTGGCACTGGATGAGCTATACTCGAAGGTTTCATAGTTAGCTTTTCGTTGGGGGATCTCATATGTGTGTACATGATGTATAGTTCCCTCTACCACTAGCTTTATATGGTCTCTCACCTTTTATCATCTTATTGGAGGATAAGAGAGCATGAAAACCATTGCTTGCTCTCGGTAGTTTACAGATTAAAATTGTGCATATTGGTCGCTTGACACACATTATATACAATGAGAGGTAGTGAATAAAGAGAATAATGGTTTAACCGATTGTGGGTTGCAATTTAATCTTAAGGATGCTTCATCAAATTTTTGAAGAATTATTGACTTGGTATTTAATCTGTCATATGGTTTTTTTGTTTTGATGGTGTTTTCTTTTTGAATTGTCGATTTGTTTAATATAAAATAAAACCAATATCCAATATATACTTTGCAAGTGCTTAAATTCATCTAAGATCATTTCACAATTTGTTCTGAATCAGATCAAATATTTAGCATTTAAGTTCACAACTCCACCGACAGGAATGTAGAAGAAACATCATCTTGTGCTGACTTGGAATTAGATAGAAAGAGATCATCGTCGTCTTCTCATTTGGAAAATATGCAAAATCGGCCAAATCAATTTCCGTTAAATATCTCGGAGCAGAGATGACTTGGAATTAGATGGATGCCTGAAATCGCTGGGCAACAGAAGCATAACTTGGAACACGATCGACTGCAGAAGACGGGTGTCGTTGTGAGCCAAGTTTTTGACACTATAATTTACTGAATTGATATAAGACTGTACATGAGAAATAAATGAACCAACCATCGCCCCATGATGCCATCGTAAGAGGTGACGACAACATCTTTTGTGCCAAGATGGTGAGATCATCAAGAGTCAACTCATCCAAGCATCGTAGAAAATAATCCACAGGTTTCCTTAAAAGCAATATATCACAACAATCAATATTAAAAAAAAAAATGAAACTCATTAACTAAGTTAGGCACTCCTTTGAGGTTGTATTTTTACTAACTTACCGGCATCCATATGTCAGTATTTGCCTCCCAATATCCTCGACTGCGATTGCCTAATAAGCAAAGAGGCAAACTTAAATTGGCCTTGATAAAACCAAACATTAGAAATTTTTGCAAAAGAATATATTTTCATTTACCCTGGATTCCAGATTCAACAATATAGCTAATCTTGTTGCATTTTTGGCTCGGTGAAGTTCAAGCTCAGTCACTAAAAAAACATGTTTAAACAGAAGGATGACATGTAATGTATTACCAGCATCTGAATTAAACCCAAAAACAAGAAGAGTTCCAAGATGATTGATTACCCTGGCCTGGGGTAGCAATTGCATGCAACTCATTAACTGCAACATCAACTGCCTTGGACACAAAATCAGATCCCTGCATTAGTTTAAAAAAATAAATGAGTTTCCACAAAACCAACAAGTAAAAAAGATAGAATTAAGTTTTTGAATATTGTCGCAGACAAATACATCAGACAGGTGGGATTCACTAGAACATGGACGAGGTCGCTCAAACAACACTAGGACTGGTAACACAAGACAAGTCAATATTCGACATTTATCAACACATCATAGGAAGTCCTCTAGTCAATAGCATTTGATTGTATCTAATATATGAGAAGAAAGCTTGGATTGAATATATGCAACCATCATGCTATTTCCATTCTCAAGGTGAAATTCAAGCTTACACGAATCGAAATTTTTGACACCAAAATCTGATTTTAATATACCTTGTTTCAGCAAGTGGACAAAGGGCATATCAAGCATTTGGCAGCTCCACAATAAAAGAAAAAAAGTAATAATGAGATCTTATACAACAAACACCAAAACTGACATCAACCATGCAGGATCAAGCCCTATTTTCAGATATTGACATCTATAGCTACTATGAGTTTTATATGATGCATTCTTCAATCTAATTTAAAAAATAATCCATAAAACCCCTTCAGATCATCTTATAAGAAAATAAAAAGTAATTACAAGCAGTTAGGAACTGACATCAGCCACCAGTACTGTTGGGCAAATTTGATTAGGCAACTTGTATTTTTACAAACTGTATTTGTGCAATTTGCAGTCCATCTCCTTACCCTAACAACCATCCCCATCATTTCCACAGCCTGAAGCATTTATGGCCATTTTTGTCTTTGAATAAAAAGAACTAAAGAAATCAAATGAGAAACATTTTGTAAGGACCGTCTATGAAAAGATGTTGTAATTTATTCCCATTGTTCAGCCCTACATATTTAATGCCTTATTACTTTAGGTTTGACTTTAACATGAGTTTGAAAATGGGTGCTGAAGAGAGAACATTTAAAACTGGATTTTTCATACGAAGCACATCATATTTTATTGGCACTAAGAATAATAGAAGATCCTGATAACAAGATCTACCTAAACTATTTTAAATTTTATACAGTTTCTTCTTATATATGTGTGTGTGTGTGTGTGTGTGTGTGTGTAGGTGTGGGTGTGTGTATTATGTATATATCTATATAAATGTACATCTATATATGTACATATATATATATATATATATACATATGTACATATATATATATATATATACATATATACATATATATATATATATATATACATATATATATATCTAACAAGTACCCTCTTTCATCAGCAATAATTTGCACATTGTCTCATCCCAAAAGAAGTTGAGTGAAGAAACCAAAACCTGAGCCATCAAAATAAGCAACTAGCAAAAGATGATACATGTAAACCTTAAAATTCTCGATTTCAAACAATAGAAAGTTGAAGATGATGAAATAAGAGCTTACTGTAATCGAGTGGATGCCAAATAAGCCAGTGTCATTACATATGCTGCTAAAAGCCAAAAAGGACTGCACTTCTTGGTATTTATTTAGCACCCGAAGATCTGCATCAATCACAGACGAACAGTGCATCAATCACAGTATCCATGAATCAAATTCTATATGACATGCACCATGTGTTCGGTAACACCCAACACATTATGATACTTCTCACATGCGAATGTCCTAGCATTACTTTAATATAAGAAAACACAAGCACCTGCTTCTAATGCGACAAACGCTTTCATATGATCCACTAAGACAAGTGATCCTGGAATCTCTTTAATCACCTTCGATAACTTTTGGGGTGACGGATGCAGAGAGAAGAGAGAAGAGGGAGGGTAAACAAAAGGGAAGATGGAGTGGCGATAGCAGCAAAACACTTGCAAAGAGGAGTGGCGATAGCAGCAAAACACTTGCAAAGAGAGAGGGGTGAAAGAATGGGAAAGGGGCAGAAAGAGGGAAGATATGAGAACGTAGCATTGCAAGAAAAGAGAATAGAGACCAACACTGAGAGGAGGTTAAATCCCTAAGTAAATAGGTTAGTTAAATGGACAGATTCAATTCTGTCCAGTGCCTCAACTGAGAAGTTCACCTAAGCAACCCCATTTGAAGGCCCGTGCCCTGACTCCATTTAAAAGGTCGAACAGGATCTAGATGGTGTCACAATTCTCTTCAACACTCAAGATCTATCAGGAGTCAGATTAGGATCAAGAGTCATGCTGAGCCTAAGGAGGAATCAGGTGCCCTTGACAGGAATCAAATAGGGCAAGCCTACATTTGATTGCCATCCCCACAATTTTTTTAAGGCAGAGTATCAAGCATTGGAACCAGTCAGTTTACACGTGGTGATGATGACCTTACTAACTAGGCTACTAAACCGGAACATCATCTACATCTTATTTTGTTATATAGTGAATCCAATATAGGATTTTAATCTTCTAAATGAACCCAAATTCTCATCTCCTACCAACTTTATTATGTAATCCCTTACCAGAAAGACGTGTAAAAATTCAACAATAGGTACACTAGGCTGCTTGCGAGATTATTTAGAATTGTCAACTTCATAATTTAAGAATTCTAAATTTAGATTAAAAGTGTCCTTACAATTTTATCTGTCACAGCTAATACTTTTTACCATTATAGTCAATATCATAACATCAAAAACAATCATGTACATATCAGTAATTCAGCTTACTATTTTCCAAAAGTAGAAGAATGTTAGTTTGCATGATAGCCATGTTAATACACGAGAAATGCACAAAGGAAGTTGCACAAAAAAATGTATGACAGGCAGTTCAATGACTCACAAAGCCGAGAATGCATCCCTTTCCCAGGACCTCCAGCAGAAAACGAACCTCCACCACCCATTAAAGTCTGTAAAAAGGTTCATATTCATACAACTTGAAAAAGGCAACAAAATTCTCAAGTTCCGAAAGAATCAAAATTACAAGTTAAAGAATAAATGTCAAAAGATTATTTATCAATAACAAGAACTTTACCTGAAGAACAGTCAGGGCTGTTGCATCTTTCTCATGCCGCCAGCCCCCTGGAACTTCAAAAGCTAATGCAACATGGGTTTTCTACTTGGAGGAAAGCAAATAAGATAGATAATGTAGACACAACAAAGAGAATAATTAATCTCAGTGAATGTCTACTTTTACCTCTGAATATATTTTATGCCTCAAATCACCACCAGTATAAGTAGACTTTGGCACCTCCATAGCAATCCCTCTCTCTAAGTCATACAACAGAGGTTCCGCAATAGCTAACAAGTGTTCATGATCCACTCCAAATGCGGCCAAAACCATGCGATCAGCAGTATAGTTTTCCTGAAAATTGGTTTAGACCATTGAATCATCAAATTCAGGAAGTCTACTGGCATTTGTTTTGTTGTATAAAAAATTCAGATTTCACAATCATGTAAACCCCAGAATGTAATGAACAATTCCTACTTGATAGAACTTCCCAATCTTAGACCCATTAATTCTTTCTAAAGCAGACTCAGGGGCCATCAATGGTTTCCCTAAAGCACCAGAGAAACCAGCAAGATGAAGTGAGTCCAAGAGAAATTGTTGAGGATCTTTCGTGATATCTCCAATTTCCCATTTGATTCTATTTACCTGTACAATGACATCATAGAATCTAAATAATGATAGCGATGTTATTCTGCAGAAGAACCAACATCAAAAAACTGGATCTTAATAGCATATAAAACATAAATATATGACTGACCTGCTCTTGAACCTCACTCTCAAGAAATACCGGGTTCCTAACACAGTCAATTAGTAACTCAACTGCCGCAGGCAGGTAGGCTTTTAGCGTGTCGTAACTGTATCCCATCTGTTCACGTGATGCTGATGCCCCTACATTGCCTCCAGTTGACTCAACTTCATGAACAATTTGTAAATGACTACGGTGCTTCGTGCTCTTGAAAGCCAGTCTTTCTAAAAGATGTGTAACACCAATGGATTCCTCAGTCTCGTATATAGAACCAGAATCAACATATATCCCTACACAAGCAGCAGGCCCCTGTCATGAGGCAGATTTAGAACAATCTAGATCCAGCAAACAGTTATATCTTTCTATCATATACCATAATTAAGTTACTTAAGTATACAGATTAGCTTATGCAATAGAAAACCACAATAGTATTAACTGGTGGATGAATCAAGTTTCCATATAGCAAAACTAGAGGCCAATATCAATGTTAAGTTATATAAGTGGCAATAGCAGCAATCTTCAGTTAAATGTGGTCATAAGATGTCATGCAGTTGTAATGGTGGCAAAATATTAGGTAAATTAATGAAAACTAGATACGAACATACCAGAGCATCCTCAGAGGCAACCCTTAGACCATTTGGAAGAGTCGTAACCTTAGTAGCATTTTGTTCAGCAGAATCCGGGAGGCAGATAGGAAGGTTGAGCCCAGGTAAGGGGTGAAAAAGAGGAGGGATGCACTTTGTGTAGCTGTCTTCGCTATAGGAGAGAGGTTCATGAGATAGATATCGAGATGCAACACCATGGCCTGATGTCCCATCATGCAAGGTGAGGGCCGTGAGGCCACTCTTACGGATTGCTCCATTCTTAAAAAGCTGCAATAACAGCCAACATAAAACAAATATATATAAGTTTCAACAGGGAACGGACTTCTGTGTCCATGTTGCTTCGACATTTGGAAACAGATATCCAAGTCAATCAAAAAATTTAGGCAAGAAGTTGATTGCTCATCGTTAACGGCATCGAAGCACCCATTCCATCTGAAGCAATGTTGTATAACCTTATTGTTTGCAAAGACAATTTAATAATGCATCCGTGTGCATTACACAATTGATCCAGATCTCAAACATTATCATCTTTTGTATTGAAGTTCTTAAAACTTAAAGACCCTGAAAAATTATCAGAGAGAACCCCAATACAGAGAGGCACTGATTGAGTCTTTCAAGCAAGTTCTACACTGGAGAGAACTTGCTCGAAAGACTCATCACCATCATTACTTCAATTAGTTTAGAACATTTTAGCTTTCTTGGATCTCTAAAGCGCTGTCTAGGGCATCATTTGGTATCAAGAAAATCCGAACCGCAGACGATTAAGACCGAATAGTCTTCGAATTCGCCAAAAACATCCACACGAAGAACACGAGGCAGAAACGATTTGGAATACAGCGAAAAAAAAAACAAGAAACGAGAAGAGATGATATGAGCTCCACAAGAACGGACTTGATATCAAGATCATAAGATACAGAAACACCGACCTTATCAAGACGAAATCGTTTCGAAAATCGAAACATTTTTCCCGAGGAGACAACCAAAGAGAACCCTCTATCGCAACCCCGGTGACGAGACGAGGGTTTTGTGGAGGCGGAAGCTTTTTAGGGGGGGAAACGAGCGAAAGCAGTCGAGAAAATTACTTCCCTAACAAGTGCTTCGCGGATCAATGACGATCCACCGTCGACTTGCTTTCGAGAATGCAATCCGTCGGTGCTTACTGGTTTTGGTAGAGGCGGCGTCGTCATCGCCGAGGCGGACGAACCACGCTCGGTTGTCTTGAGCTCGTGTACGAGAGCGGGCACGGACACGAGTGCCTAAATCTGAGATTGTACTCATCTTTTCACTGCACGTGCTAAAACGTTCCGTATATACTTATTGTATACATTAACATAAAAAGTATTTATAACTTGAACTAATTAATGAGAAATATAAATTATGATAGAAACTACAGTAGTTTTACTTTCATCATATTTCCTGCAAAAAAAAAAAAAGGAATTCATGAAAGAAAAAAGAACGAGAAAAAGCCTGTCAAAATTACATGGGTCGGTTTATGAATTGATCCAACCATCAAAATTTTGAGAGGTAATTAAGAGAGCCTCTGCTCGAACCAAAGTACAAAGCCAAAGGTATCTTATCGATCTGCTGCTGCGGTAGTCTTCCTCACCAGTGCTTCGCCTGGAAGCCGCCTTTGCGCACGAAGGAATTCTTCGGCTTTGGGATCTCGTGGATATCCATCACCTGAATCGTCCGTTGCTTTTTGGCTTCCACCCATCACGAATCGTAGCAGAACGAGACGAACGTTAGCAAATGTCCGTCGTAAATATGATGTTGATTATAGGAAGAGAAGCTTTCGGAGGAGTTTAGATAAAGATGAGATACCGTTCTGTGCCTCTCGGTAGTTCTCGTGAAGTCGTCTCCTGGCAGAAGCGAGCTTCTCGGGATCGAGCAGTTTTTGTGACGTCTGCTATTAGTAAACAGGAGGAGGAAAGAAGATGAAACACTTTCGTAGAATGCAGAGAGACTCGTATGAATGTAGTAAAGCACATTACAGAGGGAGCGGCGGAGCCGTTGGGCTTGGTCGGAAGAGCTTCTTTGCGCGGTGGATTGACCTTTGCCTTTGGTTCCATCGTTTCCAAGGTGTTCCTCTCTGAACTCGAGTAGTCATCTGCTTGCACCCAGCACGGCTTCAGCAAATAAAAGGAAACGCAAAAGGAAAGGAGGCTACTTCTTCTTGTTCCACTCACACTGAGAATGCGGAGAGCTTCCACGTTCCGGAGTCTGTCGCAATTCGGCAGAGAAATCAACAACTAAATCGACAAATCTCGAAAGGAGAAGAAAAGAATCATTGTCGAGTTGATGGGAAGATTAAGAACCTGGTGGCCGTTCTGGTGGTTCTTTCCGAGATGTTCATGCGGCGAATCACCATCCGCTGTGATCAAAATTAAAATGACTTGCTTTTATCTCTATTCTTGACATCATAAGGAGAAACGAAATGATTCTGATGGGGTTTGGGCAACGCACTGAGGATTGCAGGAGATGCCGTGGAATCACCTGCAGAATTCGATTTCACCCACCCGTCCACGAGATCTTTCCACTTCCTGCGCAGACGCGGAGAGGCATCAGAGATGCATACAAAATCCCAAGTTCCTTCTTCTGTTTTTGTTCTTTTCTTCTCTCCCTCCCATGCCCATCATCACCTCACGACTTGCTTCGCCAATCCCCGTACTTGGTCGGAAGAATGCTTCCGAAGGACGTTCACGTGCCTCCCTATGTCCGTTTCCTGAATCCAAAACAGCGCCGAGAAGATTGGAACTTGGAAGGAAACCGATACGAGTAAGAAACTTCAAGCCAAAAGAAAAAGAGTTCGTGGATCAGATTTGTCACCTTGAGAGCTTTGAAGGTGATGTCCGTATCAAGAAGGTCTTGTAAGAGGCCGACCAGAGAATCCTCCGATCGCTACGACAAAAGAAGAAAGATCTCTTTTATTATTCAATCGAATCAAGAATGACTGTTGGAGGACGAGGAGCTACACCTGATCGGCGTCTTCCAAGGACTTCTTAATGGCGAGTACGTTCCTCTTTTCCACATTCACCTCCACGTCCTCCTCATCCTCTTCCCTGTGCACCGTCTTCATCACCGGGCTGCTACTCCCTTTCTCCTCTTTTTGTAGCGACGCCGGCGGAGCGTAGAGCCGCTCCACGATGCCGTCCCGCCGCGCGCGGAGCTCCTCGGCATGGTCCGCCGCCGCGACCGCAACCGCGGTGTCCAACAGGGCCCACAGATCCACGCCGGAGCCCCTCAACATCCTCCGCAGCTCCTCCGCATCCATGGCTTCCGATCGGGAAGTCGCGCCACCAGATTCAACCCCTAATTCCTCTCCTCCGATCATCCGTCGTGATCGATCGGATCAAATCCAAACGGAAGGGACATGAAGAAAGCTTCGTTTCTCGATTTATTTATTTTCTTATTCCTTTTTCCCTTCTTTTTCTTGATTGGGGATTGGGGATTGGGGATTGGGGAGGACAGAAGCGAAGAAGACGCGATGGGGAGATCAACGTTTGTTGCGTTCAGCAATTGATGAAATAAATTAATTAATCAAAATATATTTTTCTTTATTGGGATTCGTCAGATATGGGCGGCCGCGCGAGAGGACACTGACGGTTTCCTCCGGCATCTTCCAATTCCCCGGTCTTTTCTGATTGACCCATTTTGCCCCTATACTTTATCATGTTTTACGGTGGGGTGTACGGGATGCTCGCAAATACCTCAACACCAATTTGGTCTTTAACTTTGACATTTATTATATATCAGACGATGGGTGTATGGTATGCTTGATGGAACACGATGACATACGGAAGACTATCGATACCTCACCATCATCTAACCCATACCCCATCACCTTTTTGGCCGACATACCATCACACTGTGGACACTAAGCAATCTATTCAGCCTCATAGAAAAATGATAATATTACATCATGTTCTTATGATTCAACGCTATATTATAATGTTGAAAAAACCATATAACATAATAATATTTAATCATGATCTCGAATATAATGTCATAAATCATACTATAAAAGAAAAGTCTTTCGAATATATTCTCCGATAACCTAAATTCTATTAGAGCATGTGTTTATCAAAATACTTTATTAAATAATTTGAAAGATTAGAGTAGAATATCTTTTAGCCCAACACCATCCTTCTCTAAGGATATTGATTAGCTCCAAATCAAGACTAATCATAGGTTATCCCATAGTTAGCTATGCTTAGCTTATAGATTCTTATACTTTTAAAAATTATAGTGAAATATTTCACGTTATTTTTCTTTACAAAATACTATAGATATTATCATATGTGAAAAATAACCCTAAAATAAAGTTAAAAAAGTAATTTCATCACAAAGTAGATATCACTTGTGTGTAATTTCGATCGTAGGATCCAAAAATTATAAATTTTTAGTACGATGAATACGAAATGAAGTACGATTACTCGTACCGAACTCATAATATTGTAAAATTTTCAATATGAACCTCATATTATGATTTTATAGACTACGAAAACCCTAATATATATTATTCCGATAATTAAAAGAAACCAAAGGAATATCCAACTTTTAAACAGATTATAATTTGTTAGGGTTGACCACTTATGATCGAGTCAAACAAATTTTTATGTCAGATTTGTGGCAGCCTAAATAAATTTAGGTAGTGAAGAAGCATCAGAATTTGATCTTTTCTGGATAAACATCTTCCCATCCTCATCTCGTATTTGATCTTTTCTTGCTCGCTCAATGACCACATGGTTATATGCTCTCTGGAGATCAGACAACCTAAAGAAATGGATAGGCTTCAATCACCCAATACCTTTCCCTACCATTGTTTCTTCTTCTTCGCAACTCACCGTAAGTGTCTAAAAGATGGGAACAACACATTGTAGACTTTTGGCCCCCCGCAATAGTCTCAACCGTAATATAAAATTATTAAGGTGGATAGATAGTCAAAGTAGGATAAGATCTACTCACTGTGTGCGCTTCACACGCGGATAGCTCACATGAATCTTTATCATCTATCTACCATTCGATACGTTAATGTTTCAAAACATATGGGTTGGAGAAGCTATTAGATGATATATCATATCACATAAAAATTAGTACATAAGATCTGACTCTAACTTTGTTCTCTAACATTCGATATTATATGATCCTATCATTTTTTATATTTAATTATGAATATAATAATAATACATCTCATAATAAAAAAAAATTATATTTTTTTAATCCGAATTCTTTTAGTGCATATGCTTTCGTACATACGTAGTTTGAATCGAAAGGATTTTATTGAAAATATCCTAAGGATAATATTTTAAGAAAACCTAAAAAAACTTGAACCAGAGGATGGATGGGGCCCGCAAACGGTAGTGGGTATGGCCCACGACATAAAGAAAACAAAAAGGAAGGGAATGGTGGTGGGAGCCACGAGTATCCGATAGCAATTTTAGTGCGTTCAAGAATACTTGCCTTTTTCATTTAACAACACCCTTATCTAGCATTTTATCGTCTTGGCTATGCATGCAAGTGCACGCTTGTATGTCTTCTTTTTGTGTTTGTGTTTGGGGGCTGTTCCTCTTGAAATGATATCACGCAGCAGTAGCACTCGTCCTGCCACCAATGATGTGTGCTTTCTTTGAGCGTTTCCTCAGTGCAGGCCCCCACATCATGCAATGAATGAACTTTGCTAATTCCCTTAGCAATAATCCATTCCAACTTTTTAGAAAGAGGACTTAATCACAACATATGCACGCCACAAATAATCATCTCAGCTTTGCTTTTGTTTATGGTCTCTATATAGATCTTTGGCAGATGGAGTTCGAGTCTCTCAGAATCATACCACAGTACGAAGAACCGTGCAGTCATGTCTTCGGCCTCGACCGTCGTCGGACCCATCGCGTTGGACATCTACTCCAGAAGACTCTTGCTCAGCGCTCCCGTGTTCATGCAGCACCCCGCGCCACCATCCCCTTGGATCGCCGGCTCGAACTTCGGGCTCTCCGATCGGCCCGGGAGCAGCAGCACCAACGCCGTCATGATCGTCGCCGTCTTACTCTGTGCTCTAGCGTGCGCGCTGGGGCTCAATTCCGTGGTCAGGTGTGCGCTCCGGGCGTCGAACCAGATGGCGGCGGAGGGCGTGGCGAACCACCCGGTGGCTCGACTGGCCCGGACCGGGCTGGGGAAGAAGGCCCTGCAGCGGCTGCCGATGCTGGTCTACTCCACCGGGCTGAAACTCACCGGGTCGGTTCCCGAGTGCGCGATCTGCCTGTCGGAGTTCGAGGCGGGCGAGGAGATACGCGTCCTCCCCAAGTGCAATCATGGGTTTCACCGCAGGTGCATCGACAAATGGCTGATGGCTCGGTCCTCCTGCCCGACCTGCCGCCGGTGCTTGTTCGGGGCGTGCCGGAAGACCTCGGGCCGTGCCGGAGAGAGCCAGCCGGCCCACGCGGTCATAGTGGCCTTGGAACCGGAAGGTTTAGTCACTGGCTACCGCTATTGAGCAGTGCCATTAGTCATTTAGTGGCAGTCTGTACAGAGTTCATAGAGGCGGAATTGGTTCATCTTTTGTAATGTTTGTGATTTGGGGTAAGGAGATGAAAGATGATTCAACTCCCGAGTGGTTTTCGGCTTCTAAAGAAGCAGAAGCAGAAGCAGCGGATGGGCTATGGAAAGAGAGATGATGGGAATCTAAGTGAAGCCCACTAAGGCATGGTCCACTTCATCCAGTTGCGGCATAGATTTTAGATATCCAGTTGCGGCATCTCATTGGCTGCCACTTTAAAGGATGACAGAGATCCTTTGTGATGGCGAGACAAGAAAAACCAATGAAATTTTACCTTCATTTGTATTCCTACTCTGAAAGATCTCACTGATCTGAAAGATCCCCCCCTTCCTTTGTATTCCTACTCTTCTTCTTTTTTCCTCCCTCCATCTCCCCTCTTTTTCCTTGTCTCCCCCTCCATGTTCCCTCCTCACCCATTGCCATTGTCTCCTCCCTTCCCTCTACTGCTGCTTCATCTTTTCACTCCTCCTCCTATTATTTTCTCTCTCGTCTCTTCTTCCTTCGTTCCCTCTTTCTTATATTTCTTGTTCCCTCTTTCTCTTCTGCCTCCTCTCTTCTCTTCCTCCTTTTGCCCTCTTAAGAGAGGTAGAGGAGAGGGGTTAAGAGAAAGAGAGAGAGAGATTGAATCAGACTATAAAAAGTTGATATTTATTATTATTATTTTTTAACAAACCGATCCACCATCGAAACAATGTCATAATTTAGAAGATTACTATTGGTGATCGTTCTTTTGCTATTTATCATTTACATTATACATACACCTAAGAAATAATAAAAAATATTTTTACTAAAATCAAACTAATTAATTGCTAATTATATTTTTATTTTTATTTATAATCCTTTAATTACTATTATTTTAAATATCTTATTTCATATGTCAATCAATCGTTCTCATGAACATTAACGTTCACTATATCCCCTCTAATCATCTTCCACGAAAAAAAAAGGATAATAATAATAATAATAATAATAATAAAATAATTCAAGATATTTTCTAGATAATAATAATAAATCAGTTATTTCTGTTTATTCTATGAACCCATTTTAGTTTTATTCTTTTAATTATTTTTCAGCCGTTTTTTCCCATCCTATGGGCCCCATGAAATTTTAATTGTGATCCTTTTTTGTTTCGGGTAATTAACGCAGGTATGTTCTCCGTAGCACATCAAACATCGGTACAGAGATTTGACGCCGTTGATTGATTGAGAGCAGCAAGTCAAAGTTCACGCGACGTGTGTATCTTTTGGGAGGTAATACAGACTCCCGAAGCTTCTTTAAACGAATCTACCGCATGCGGACAGTGATGCGATCTTTAGATTGGTATCGATGGATGGGTGAAAAAAGATGACAGACAAGTCTCCATGATCCTTTTTCTCGTCGTCCTCATGTCATGTCATGTGTTTCCTCCGAACAAAGCTAATGTTGATTGCTGTGAGTTTCATCATCTTCACTCTGCGTTTATGATCGATGATACTTCGTGGACTCGAAATAAGAGCGTCTTTAATCTTTCCATCTCTTATTATCTCAATGCATGTACCAAAATTTCCTAACCATGTACAGCAAAATTCTTCCTTTTAAACTCGGAGATTTCTTCTTCGTTTTGGTGTCGATCAAAATGGCATGATGTGGGTGGTCTTGGTGTCGTATCCCGTGATGCAGCTTTTCGAGCTCACCCTGAAGATCTTAAGCAAATCCGCCGCCATCTGCCTCGCCGCCGGCGAGCAGCCGCTCTGCATCAGGAGGAGCAGCTTCGTCACCACCCCTTCCGCCGCAGCCACTGCCTCCACCGCTCGCCGGTCCCGGAACCGGTGGCACACCCTCCACAGCACCGCCACCGCGGCCTCCGCCCCCGCCTTCCCCGCTTTCACCATCCTCCGCACCACCGCCATCGCCGCCGCTGCACCGTCCTCGCAGATCGACGCCCGTCCCTCGGCGCATCCCGACGCTGCCTCCATCACCCGCA